ATCTCCAGTAAAAAATGTCCAACAGCGAAATTCCGACGAAATGTCATTTGTTCTCTCACAAGACAAATATATCCAAAATAGTACGCGAAAAGAAAATTTGCAGAAACTTGCAAGTTAGATGAACAGTTCTTAGAAATTTTGTTTACATTCAAAAGTATAAAATTGACAACGTAACAAAACAAATCCCGAAGTCTTATCCTGACTTAGTTCACTGACTAAACGAATAATTACTTCCTTCTTACAAGTTTAATTATTCGCATTTTATTATTTTAACTTCCAAACAGGGACGTAAAATAATTATTATTTTTTAAATTTTAACCAAAAAAATCTAAGTGTTGTAAGCGTCGAAAAAAAATTTTAACTTTGTTCCCATATTTGTATTCGTACGTCTTATTGTCATCTATAATGAATAATAATTAATATCTGATTTTTATTTTTTCGATTAAAGATAATAATTAATATTGATTTTTATTTTTCCACTTAAGAGTAATGATTATTCAAAAAACTATCCGGTAATATCAGACATATCATTTTCAGAGGTAGCGACGCTCTAATAAAAGGAATAAGTCCCAAAATTTGCAGGTCAAAATTTCTGTTCGTTGCGTCTATATGGCATTTTAGGTTTTATAAATAATCATTTTTTCTAAGTAGAAAAATAAAACTAAATAATAATTATTATTTTTGAGCGAAAAAATAAAAATCATAAAATAATTATTATTTGTGATCGAAAAAATAAAAATCAAATAATAATTATTTCCGTTGAGCGAAAAAGTAAAAATCATAAAATAATCATTAAATGCTGATTTTAATTATTTCACATATAATGATAACCGTCCCTGCTTCCAAACCATCAAATTCAATTCAGGGATTTGCGTAAACTCTAACCAGCTGTTTTCTTGTTGGCAAATTGCTGTTGGCAAAAATGAAATGTCACTTTGCTCTCTCAATTTCCCCTACATTGCAAGTTTTTTGCGTACGCGATCACAAAAAGCTGATAGTTTTTGATAACTTTAAATATTTAGCAGGCACGCGAATGCAACTAATTGTGAACGGTATTTTGGCTTTACGAATTTCATTATAGATTACAAAGACTCGCAGTTATACGTTGTACCAAAAATTGAAAATATACGGCACGCAGCTGTTTTCAACAGCGGATATTTTTTTCTGAAAACTATCAAAACTATCGATGGTGTGTGTGACTATCGATAGTTTGACACCTCTAATATGTACAAATTTTTAATTCTGTGTTTATGTTCATACGTATATTTTCTTAAGCGAATCAATATTTTACATCAAAGATTTTTATAATATATTTTCTGGGAAGTAGAAAAAGTGGAAGGTATTTTATGTACAGATATGTATGTAAACAAAACTACTAAGGGCCGTTTTCTCATGTAACCTGTAACTTTAAAACTCACT